TACCATCAATCACACATTTTTCCTTTTTTTTTTAAAAAAAAAAAAATGATTGTGGAAAGCAAAAAGGATTGGAAATGTAAATTTGATAAATCCTTTGCAAAAGTATCAATTACCATAAAATAGAAATGAATAATTGGATAAAACAAATCAGATCACATGAATTATATTTGATATTTCAAAAACTCCCATAAGAATCGTTAATTGTACAGTCCTTTAGAAAAACTTAACATCAAACCGCAAAATACAGTCACAGGATTGAAATATATTGAGCGATGTAGTCGTTTAAATTTTTAATTTTGGAAACTCTTATGCATCACATGTAGGAAAATGAATTCTGATTAAAATAGCAAACTTAAAGAACATTACCCAAGTGCAGATATCAAAATCTATGAGAATTGAGTATATGTAAGTTATACTAATGAATGAGTTACTGATGAAATGTTAATGAAATTTTGATGAAATGTTATATTTGTTATATTTATGAAATTAATTAAAATTTGTTATATTAGTTAAATTTGTTATTATTAGTTAAATTTGTTATTATTAGTTAAATTTGTTATTATTAGTTAAATTTGTTATTATTAGTTAAATTTGTTATTATTAGTTAAATTTGTTATTATTAGTTAAATTTGTTATTATTAGTTAAATTTGTTATTATTAGTTAAATTTGTTATTATTAGTTAAATTTGTTATTATTAGTTAAATTTGTTAACAATTGTATTATTGGTTATTATTAGTTATCATTATTAAAAGGTTTGATAATAGTGACAAGGGATCACTTAAAATAAAACATTTGCATCATTGTTAATCACAATAGTGAACATTGAAAGGATAATACAGATAATAGAAGTATCATTCTGTTGTGCTTTTGTAGTATTCAAATATTTCAAAAAAAATATTGCAATAATCAACGAACTTTTCAAAATCATAAAATGATAAGAATTAAGCACCTTTATTCCTAACTTTCGAAACCACAAAAGCGGCATATCAGGGTATTATTCATCACAAACATAGGACACTGTATATAACAGAAATAATGCTTGAAAATTACCAAATCAGAAGTAATAGATAATCATCATTGAAATACCACAAATGATCAAAATAAAATCCCTTCTAACCTAGATCACCAGTATAATAGTGTTATATTACCAGGAGATGATTAAATTAAACACTTTCAAAGTAGCAAATTCTTATGTCTTTGAACTCTACCAATAGCAGTATATCAAAGATTAATTGGCACGAATGAAATATTTGAAAAACTCTTCATTAAAAGATCTCAACATTATTAGCCAAAACTAAAACATTTTGAACACATCAACGTTTCTTAAAAAAAAACATCAATTCGACTAAAGATTCAATTAAACCAAAGTATTTAATTAAATATTACTGATAGTATTCAATATTAATAAATTTAAAGTAACCCCTTACGGGATAAACATTCAAACATTAACGAATAGATTGTATTCGCAAACAAATAACTAAAAATGGTAACATAAATTAATCCGCACACCCAACACTAGGGAATATAAAACATAAATATTCATATCTCAAATAAAAATCAATTATAATTGCTTCTTCAATTACTTCAGAATCCCTCGATTGAAAAACGCAAATCCACTCCATGAAGATTACATCCTAAAAGTTAAACATAACACTGAAAAGAAAATTTTAGTTAACAATTAGAACCCATTAAGCATCTCTTGAAAACAATTTTAATAATATAATTTGGAGGTTGTGATAAATTCGTCTATAATTAGTCAAATTTAACAACTACTTGAAGTAATTACTTATGCAGACCAATATTCATTGATTGTTATATTTATTCATTGAATCACCATGTTACGTAGTATTCAAAAGAAAATTAAACAGTAAACTATTGGAAAAATAATCAAATGTTTGACTTTGACCAAAAGAATTATTGGTTTTGCCACCAATTTGAATTATAATTCACTTCAGTTTGATATAAATACATACCCACTCAGTTGTTCTAGGAAAAAGACGTAAGCCCATAACCTGTTAGAACTCTACATATGTAAGTGAGCAAAGTATAATAATAGATATAATAAAACCTAATTGTATAATAGGTTGTTGATAATTTATATTAGTTGGTTGATACCTTTTCTATTTAGTATTAATTTATTCTCCAATTATTTCATCCCTTAATTTATAGTCGTCAACAATTTAGTATTTTCATGTGACTTGAATCATGTTTTAAACTTTGTTGTGTCGTGTAACCATGGAGAATTATCTGATTACATAATCATCCTTTAACAATAATTTCCTCCACATTTGTTTCTTTCTTTCTTGTCCTTCACCATTATCATCTTGTCTCCGCTCAAGTTTCAATCCATCTTAGCTTTGGTTTGTATTAGTTTTGTATGGTTTGATATGAAATTCTTGTGTTTTTTTTGTATGGCGATACTTTTCTGTTCTTCTCGCATTTACACAAAACAAAAGAAACGCCCATTTTTACACTTCCAAAAAGAAAAAATGTCGTACCCGCCTTAACATAAATGCAGGAGATGCACAACGGATAAATTAGATTTCTCCCCTACAAAAATCAATCAACTCCTTGTTTCATTGATAAAGGAATGAGATATTTCCAACCTTGTTTTCCCATGAAGCATTTCCAACCATCATCATCTTCATATACCATTTCCAATTGATCAACCATATGATTTGTAAGTGGAAATACCTGGAAATTAAAGATGTTGGGTCACTAGTCTTTATCAATTACAAATGGCTATTAATAACACTTTGAAATTCGTATAAACGTTCTTCCCTTCAATTCTTCTCTTTTGTTTATCAAAGTAATTTTAATAATAATAATAATATTAATAATATTATTATTTCACAGCCATTATTGTTTTATCAGTTGAATTGCCATTTACTTTTCTTACAGATAATAGGGGGTGTAGATAAAGTCAAATTCAAAAATAAATCAATAAATTCTGAGCCCAAGGCTTCGATTGTTCTTTAATTTTGTATTCGATTAACAGGTTTAAAACAAAACGGATAACAATTACATGGCTTTTTTTTACCTACTTTAAACAGACATTTAGTGTATTATCAATAATAACAAAGCCATAATTCTCGATATCAAAAATTGTAACAATGAATAATAGACAATTCATTCTTTAATTCTCTCCAAAATCAATAAAAAATAAAAACGAAAAAAAAAAAAAAAAAACTTTAAATGTCCTCTCTCCCTTTAACCTTATTGAAGTTATCCCAATCAGATCGTGTTTAACGTAATTCAAATTCATACATATATCTTCCCCCACTATCCTTGGTTTATTTTACTATCAAACGTAACTTTTAACA